TTCCATGATTCGCTTGCTCGCGTTTCGCGTATAACGCCTTTAATATCCTCGTCAAAGAGATTTTTGGTTGGCCATGATGTTGAAGTCTGCCCTTCATCTGGTAGGCACGACTACCCGACCAATTCTGCTGCATCTCGCAGTGACGCCGCAACTGACACCAAGATTTGCGATGGTAGAGGCTAGGTATGCATTCGGCTGAGTGCCCTGTGTCCCCTACTAGCTCTACAGCGCTCTTGGCGCTCGATAGCGCCGTTATCATCGTGATAACATTTTGGTCCCCGTGGCGACTTGCCGTTTGTATTGCGTTTTCCAGAATGATCCCGGCCTTTCCAGAAATCTCCACATACAACCCCAAGTCAAACCCTTTCTGGAAAAATCGACCTCTTTTTGTGTAATGGGCGCAAAAGTCGCCCTCCATACATATTTCAAGTATAAACGGTCTGTATTCCATGGGTGTAAACCATTCTGTCTCAAAAATTTCCGCCCTGCGGGGCTGGGATTCCCGAACGCACTTACTAGCCCGCAATTACCAGGGGCGGTCGCCAGACCGAGCCTGGGAATCGCACATAACAGGGATTAATTCAGAACTGGCCAATCACAGGCATGTATTATTTTAGCCAATAGGATTTTTCTGGAATAAGTATAATTACTCTACTGTAATAAAGACCATATTACGGACTCCCAGTGTTCAAGGGTTGAGGACTTTAAAACACAGCGTACACAATGCCGCTATAATTTCGTCGGGGAATTTGCAAAAGGCGTCATGGCTTGAGTACCTTTCTGCAAAATACGCAGATTTCTGCGAAACACGTCATGAATACGTCATGAACTCTTGTGAGCCCACCTGGCAAGTCGGACAATCCCGAAAATTCCCTTAAATAGTATCGCAATGCACTTGACGATTTTTTACAAGTCGTTCAGCACGCGCATTGCTGTCGCACGTCAAGTGGAATGGATGCACACATAGAAGGGGAATGAACTTATGTATTTGGAGAGATGCACCAGTGTAGTGGTGAAGGTAACTATTTTCCCTTGCTACGCTTACGTGCCACGCCACTGGGGCCTCACTTGCGCTTCTTGACGCGTCGACGGGAGCATTTTGGGGCGACATTTTCTTCGTAGTCGATGGCCCATCGACTACGAAGAAAATGTACGAACTTTGCGGCCTACTGTGGCCGCAAAGTTCGTCGCCACCTTGTACTCGTCACCAAACGCTTCGCAGATCTTGATGTAGCTGGCAACGCACTTGAGGGCCGCTACCAAGTGGCAACATGGGGTGCGGTACTGCACCTTGTGCGCGCAAGTGCACGTAAACTTGACTATGTCGACGCGCCAGAGATTTCTCGGAGCGGACATGTAGACCACATCGGCGAGCGCGCGCTTGCAGGTAAATGCGTCCGACGCGTTGTTGGCTTCGTCGAGAAGATCTTGGCCATGCGGCGTAACCTTGAGACGGTGCTGGGTCCAAGCGATAGCCTGCTCCCGACGCTTGAAAGATAGCACGCCAACAACGAAACAGTAATTCTATTACATGTTTATGAAATAGTATTATACATGGTGTACTCATTTTGAGGAATTTGTGGGCTCACAAGAGTTCATGACGCATGCATGACATGTTTCGCAGAAATCTGCGTATTTTGCAGAAAGGTACCCAAGCCATGACGCCTTTTGCAAATTCCCCAATTTCGTCCTGTTGACGGTGCTTAGCGCAGAGGTTCTCGACTTGCGCCGGCGATATCTCAGTCGTCGCGCTGACAAGCACACGCTCAATCCAATCAATCCCCTTCTTTTGTCGTCAACGTCGTTGAAAATAGTGTTGTACTACCATGAGCATGGCTCGCCTTCATTCCGGCCTGGACACCAGGCTCGGGTGTTCTGGCCGGAACCGGACGCAGCTCCCAATAGGTCGTTGCTCCGGTTGCAGCTCAGCGCGTTGGCAATTGTGCCATCAATCGTGTCGTCAAATTGTTGGCGCGCTGTCTGCTTCAACCTGCCGGCCGAGGTATAGTTTATACTAGAGTAGTGTATACTTGCCAGTAGGTACTCGATCGTGTGGCTCTCGCGAGGTCTTCTGAGCCCGTGACGAGCTCACTAATGTACTCACTTTTCGCTTTGCCTTTGAGTCAACCTTTCGATTTTGATCTGTCTTGACCAGCCGGTCCGTCGAGGCCAGAGTACAGAACACCAGGGCGAATGAGCGCCGGGTCGAGCTTCTGAGAGTGGTTTCATGATAAGGCGCATCGCCCATGGTCCTTACGACACGTATTGAGCTGGTCCGTTGTGTGTACAAAAACGTCTGTCGGTCACACCAGCATATTTCTCTGCGTAAAGTGCGATCACATACTTCAGCCGAGTGTACACAACGAAGAAGGTCTGCCAACGTAATTTGCGTAGTTGGACCTTTTGTAATACTGTAGGAGACCCACTTCAACAACCACAACAACAATCCATCAAAAGGTGTGCTACGTGTTGAAGACACTTTACAAAGCCACGTTGGGTCAAGTTGCTGCACGCTGTGCCGTACGCGGACCCGACACAACTCGAGGTACTGCTTTCAGGGACGGACGCTGTCACGGTCAAATACTCGCACGAACTCCGAGGCAAACTTGACGACGCCGAGACGACGGTGACGCAGCTTCATCACGTTTTCGAGGCCGCTTGCCACGGGCAAGCAACGGCGTCCCAACTTCTCGAGACGGAAGGAGCTCGTAGAACCAGAGCTAGCGACGCTGCGCGCGACGCAAAAACACTCGAGAAGGTCGCGCAGCACAACAGCCGTGTGATCAACGGCATGAGCCTCCTCCAGATCCAGCAAACGCCCACTCGTGTCTACAACGAGCT